TCAAAGCCTTCCAAAGTAACATATGGACTTTTGTTGTGTAAGTAACCTACAGATTTTTTCGGCTAGCTAGCGGCACTCTGCGATTTTCTGGCACCAACTCAAAGTCGCAAAATTTGAAGCCCCATATTCGAGAGCTTCGTTCTTGATGTCCAGGTCACGGAATCTTATGCTTAAACATCCATCATAAAGCGTAAGACTTCTAATATTTTTAGCATACAAGACTGTGAATTTAGGTTTAGTCTTTGGAAAGTTATTGAGTTTTGTTTGAATTACGCAAGAACTTTCGTGCCAACCTAATATATTAGGTGGGTGCAAAAGTTCTGTCGTTTCATTTTCAAAAATTTGTAACTTCGCCAGATTTCAACGGATTTGCTTGCTTGTAATTTTATTAGAAAGAATAGGTCTTCCGCTTTCAAGCGCTGTTTTAAGGAGCTTCTGTTTGGCACTGAGTGCAGAGATAAAAATGGGAAACTAAGGCCATGCAAACTTTGACCATTTCAATTTAGGTCACCAAAAATCGGGAACGCTGCAGAAAAATCTGAAATCTTCAGTACATATGTTTTTTGGCCTACACTTTGCATCTGTGAAAAGTTTGTGCTGTTTGAAAGATATTATGGATATCGAGTTTACCATGGAAAACGCCAAAATCAATCAATTTGTGAATTTTCGCGAAAATCGTAACTTCTCACAGAGACGTCCAAACAGCACAAATTCTTCACAATTGCAAAGAGTAGGCCAAAAAACATATGTACTGACAATTTTAGATTTTTCTGCAGCATTCCAGATTTTTGGTGACCTAACTTAAAAAGGTCAAAGTTTACATGGTCTTAGTTTTCCATTTTTATCTCGGCACTCAGTGTGAAACAGAAGCTCTACAAAAAAGCGCTTGAAAGCGGAAGATTTATTCTTTCTAATAATAATACACGCAAGCAAATCCGTTGAAATCTGGCGAAATTACAAATTTTTGAAAATGAAACGACAGAACTTTTGCACCCACCTAATATATACATATCAGTGGCGTACCCAGGATTTCCGCTCGGGGGGGGGGGGAGGCGACAAAATTTTTTTTCAAATGACGGTGCGTGGCGTTAGCCACGCACTCCAAAAAAAATTTTAGGGGTGCTTTTCAAAATTTTTGCGGGTCCCCAACCCCTAAAATCTGGAAAAAGGGGGCGCGGCGTCAGCCACGCCCCAAAAAAAATTTTTTTTACAAAGCTTTTGAATTTTTAAAAATTTTTAAAAATTATTTTAATTATTTACAAGTATAAACAAGTCACTTGCACATTTTTATAACCCATATAAGTAACTTTCAAAAATTTGGCGACCCATTCTCGGGGGGGGGGGGGCGCCCCCCCCCCTCGGTACGCCACTGATACATATATACATCACTACTTAACTATATATCATAACCAGTGCGTCACCTCTGCTTCGCAGAGGCTCGCACTGGCCCTTTTCTGCATGCTTCACTCATTCCGCGCAAAAGTGACAGTAAAACTCACCGCGCTATGCCGACTATCACGAATGATTTGTAAACAACTATTCATTCTAAAAGCTTTTCCATATGAGATCGGTAATTTCGCGTGAATGAAACTTCTCCCAAAGGAACAAATGCTGATTTAAATCGGTTTTTGCAGTTTTCATGGCTTGGCATTTGCCATAAGATACAAGGTCACCGTGGCTACATCTCTATGCAAAAATCTTTTCAAATGATCGGGTGAAATCTTGGCAAAGTGAACACTTACGCAACCAAATCTTTTTGGCGTCATTTTTGCAAATTCATAAACTTTAGATCAATTTTTTGAGCTAAAGTCCATCGTTTGCACCTTAACTTGTCAGACAATCCGTGACTTTGCAAAAAGTTGTGCTACATGCTTTTTACTGACCAAAAGCCAAGTGGATCCAATTGACGCGCATTTTTTGAGGGATCCACACAACGGATCCTCTCATGCTTTTGTACAGTGGACTCTCATGTAAGTAGCATGCTCCGTGCAAAACTTTGACTCAAGAAATTCACTGGAACTCGCTCCTGAATTTCGTGACAGACAGAGATTCAGACACACACACACACACACACACACACACACACACACACACACACACACACACACACACACACACACACACACACACACACACACACACACACACACACACACACACACACACACACACACACACACACACACACACACACATACACACACACACACACACACACACACACACACACACACTGTCGTTAATTATAATATTATTAACGACTCTCTTCGTTTATGTAAATGTATCCATTCTGTCATGGACAAGTTGTAGATTGTCCATGCACCTGTTTAGCCGCCGGGTCACCCTCATGGCCCTTGATAATGCACTCGGCGGCGCCTACTTTCAATTAGGCGAAACTCTTCTGCATTGATAGCATTCCTTGCCAGAAGTTGGCATCCAGGCTATACACGCCCAATTTGGCTGTATAAAAGAGCCTGGATACCAAGCTCTGGAGTCGTCACTATCGCCGTTATCGCCTAGTCGCTGTTCGTCTATTCACCAATAAATAGTTGTGCCACCCAATTGGTCTTACCAAATTGGTGCATCGGCCAACGGATCGTCTCTTCGGTGCTGCTCACCGAAATTCGATAAAAGTCCCGCGTGGCAGGCTACTAACAGCCGATTATTCGACTCTCGTGATTGGTTCATCCACTTTCGCGACCAAGAGTCTTACTAAGCTGTCAGGTCCTATCCACAGCTTAGTAGAGGTTTCTAGCTAACTGACTGGTTCATCCACAGTTAGCAACAGACTCCTCGCACTCTAGGCTACTAATTAGCCAATATTCGACTCTAGTAATTGTTGGTTCATCCACTTTTACTAATACGAGTCTTGCTAAGCTATCCCATAGCTTAGCAGAGGTTTTCTAACTAGCTGACTGGTTCATCCACAGTTAGTAAAAGAACTCCTCGAACTTTTTTTTGGCTTCCAACAGCCAAAAAAGACTCTGTGATTGCTGGTCCATCCACTTTCACATACAAGAGTCAACTCACTAAGCTATCAGGTCCTATCCATAGCTTAGAGAGGTGTTCTAACTAACTGACTGGTTCATCCACAGTTAGTAGAAGAACTCCTCGAACTTTTTTTGGCTTTCAACAGCCAAAAAAGACTCTGTGATTGCTGGTCCATCCACTTTCACATAAAGAGTCAACTCGCTAAGCTATCAGGTCCTATCCATAGCTTAGCAGAGGGTTCTAACTAGCTGACTGGTTCATCCACAGTTAGCAAAAGAACTCCTCGAATTTTTTTTTGGCTTCCTATAGCCAAAAAAGACTCTGTGATTGCTGGTTCATCCACTTTCACGTACAAGAGTCACCTTACTAAGCTGTTAGGTCAAATCCACAGCTTAGTAAAGAGGTCTAACTAGCTGCTCGGTCAATCCACAGTTAGCAGACGACCCTCTTAAGCTCCTTGACGGTTGATCAATCAAAGCAAGAGCTTGCTGCTAGCTATCAGGTCAATCTATAGCTTAGCAAAAACAAACTCCTATCAGCCTTCTGTACGCATCAAGTCCATGCGCACCAGACAAACAATGGCTGAGCTAGCTGGATTCAAAACACGCATCACAGTGGCTTGCTCTTCAGTTGGCAGCCTCCAGAGCAAAATCAGGGAAATAGATCAAGCCTTCAACTTCCCAACAACGGCAACGGAATGCAACGCCTTCATTGTGGATAAAATGGCAGAAATTGAGGAGGCAGAAATTTCTCTCAAAGGCTTTTTGGAATACCTGGAAGCACAGATCCAGAATGCTATGAACTTTCTCGGATCAAGAAAAGACCAATCAGAAAGAGAAAGGCTTATGACTGATCTTGTTGTATTTCTTTCTACTGAAGCAAACACAGTGCAGATGGAAGCTATTAACTGGTCAAATAGGCTAAAATACCGGATGAGGGAATTGGAAAAACAGTCGAGCCTAATTCATGCAATAGCATCGTCCTCGATGCGAACATCAGTGCAGGACACCGACACGGATAGTTGTCTATCAACAAGACAACACAATGAGAACAAAGTCCGATTACCAGTGCTTGAAGTTCCAACGTTTAATGGAAACTACAAAGACTATCCAACATTTTGGACAATTTTCGACTCGCTCATCCATAGCAACTCACAGCTCAGCAACACGGATAAGTTCCTATTTCTGAGGCAAGCACTGAAAGGATCAGCTGCTTCCATGCTTGGCAATATCCCTGTGATAGGGAAAAATTACGACAAAGCTGTGAAACTTCTCGACAAAAGATACAACAAATCTGGATGTATAGCCGATATTCTCATCACAGAGCTCGAAAAACTTCCGCAAGCAAGAGAAGACGCGAGTAGCTGCCGAAGAATGTTAACCGACATAACGGAAAAACTCACTCACATTGAGTGTGCAGGAGTTACTCTGGACAACGGACGAATGTGGAGACGCTTGATACTCTCGAAATTTCCGACATCACTGAGCGAAAAGGTGTTTAGTAAGGAACAAGATGAAGACAAGTCGTTCTCCACTGAGAAAATACTAGAGATCTTGGAAAACGCGGTGGCTCTAAAGGAAACAATCGCCCTAACAACGGACACATTCCATGAGCGGGTGACCTTCAGCCAAAGCAACCGTTCAAATCCCATTAAGGATATGCAGATTCGACCTCAGCGATTTGAGCAATCGAGTAGAACACATGGAAGACATGGAACACAAGCTCGTTGCCTATGTGGAAGTCCGACTCACACTGTCTCACAATGTCCGACTCTTGGTAAGACCAATTGGGTGGCACAACTATTTATTGGTGAATAGACGAACAGCGACTAGGCGATAACGGCGATAGTGACGACTCCAGAGGTACGACGAAGCGAAGCATCTAAGCGAAAAGTGTGCTGGAAGTGTTTCGACCAAAGCCATCGCTCAAGCGAATGTACGAAATTGGGACCTTGTCCTAAATGCAGCAAGGACCACCACTCAGCTCTGTGTAATGTTGATCGATTAACCATGAATCCAACCTCATCGATGACACAGTCAAGGTTTAGCAACATTAAGCGACCATCTGGTGGGAGAACGAAGACAGCACAAAATGCCGAAGTTATTTCACCCAACTTGGAGGTGAAAAATGAGTCAGATGGATTACAATATGTGCTCATGACAGCTACAGCTGTGGCCTTCAACTTCGATAAGATGGATTACGAATCTGTTACCATTTTCTTCGACACAGGCGCTCAAAAAAGCTTCATCACTACCGAAAAAAGCTTGAATCTTAAGCTTCCACTGATTAAGACAGCCAGCTTTACCGTAAGCGGCTTTGGAGGAAAAGCTGAGACATTTAACTCTGACGAAGTATCAATTACGCTCAGAAATGTCATAGACGGACGGGCAATAAAGGACATTTCAATACACACGAAGACTCCTTTAACTTCAGCTATAAGTACAGCGAAGCTGAGCGCCGACGATAGAAGTTTTATTCGAAAGGAACAGATCAAAGTAGCACAGCCCACACTTGAAGACAAGGTCATCACTCCCGACATTCTCGTAGGCCAAGATCTAATCGACGACTTTATACTCAGAGATCGTCGTTGCGTGACTCTGCCATCAGGCTTGATACTCACACCGACAGTATTCGGTTATGCAGTCTCAGGAAAGAGTTCAATCCAGGGCAAAGCTCCGACAAATACGAATACAATACTCGTTGCGACTCCTATAGTCAACACTGCAAAGGAGGAATACAAGCAGGACATTAAGAACTTGTATGAACTGGAATCCCTCGGTATCAAAGTGGACAAGGACAGTGACGAAGAAGCAGTTCTGCAGTTTATGAACAACTACAGAAGCACAATTTCAACTGAAAATGGCAGAATCACAGCTGGATTCCCATTTCTGGACAACGTCACTCAGTTGAAGAGCAACTTTAACGTGGCAGTCAAACGCCTTCAAGCCCTAATTCGGATACTTCAAAACGACTCGGAAAAAATGAACCTGTACAACGAAGCACTACAAGATTACCGGCATCAAGGAATCATCGAAGAAGTTCACGAGCAGAGTACAGCTGGCGTAACCACATTTTATTTGCCTCACCGTCATGTTTGGACGCCGGGGAAATCCACGCAACTCCGCGTCGTCTTCGACGCGTCCTCACATGCCAAAGGAGAACTAAGCTTGAATGATGTCATACATCAAGGGTACTCGCTGACTTCCTGCATCTTCGACATCCTACTGAAGTTCCGAACTTACGATTACACAATGGTTGCGGATATCCAGAAAGCGTTCCTGCAGATTCAGTTACCTATTGAACACAGAGACGCGACAAGATTCTTGTGGATAAAGGACACATCTAAGCCTCCCATTGGTAGTAATATCAGATACTACAGATTCTGCCGAGTACCGTTCGGAATCAATGCTGGACCGGCAATACTGAATCAAGCGCTGCTCAAACATCTTGAGTCATTCACCAACAACACATTTCGAGAGATATCGGATATGCTGTATGTCGACAACGTTATACTTGAAGGAAAGAACAATGAAGAACTCCTCAAGAAGTATCATGAATCTAAGGAAGTGTTCAACAAAGTCGGAATGAACCTTTGAGACTACCTCTCCAACAGTGCACAAGTCAATTACAAGATCCCAGCGCATGATCGTGCTACTTCAAATGACATAAAAGTTTTGGGTTTGCACTGGTACAGCAACGACGACCAAATAGGTCTGATATGCACTACAAAATCGTTTACAAAAACGACCAAACGATATGTCCTCAGCCAAATCAATGGACTCTGCTTCGATCCCTTAGGACTGCTGACACCTTTGCTTACCACGGCAAAAACGTTTCTTCAAGACTTACACAAGAAGAAACTGGCTTGGGACGATCCATTGTCAAAGGAAGACAGCGATACCTGGGATGCAATCAAGAAAAACATGGTCCACTTCTCCATCCAACTACCTCGACGAGTAACACAGCAAGAAGGATGCACATCCCGTACGCTTTCAATGTTCGTCGATAGCTCAAAAAGAGTTTATGCTTGTGTTGCTTACATCACAACGGACACACAAGCTGGAGAGCGCTATACAAGACTATATTGCGCAAAGTCAAAAGTGGCCCCCATTGGAACAACTCAAACGATACCAAAGCTCGAACTGCTAGCCATATTTATCGGAATGAATTTGCTGGAATACATTGTAACCAAGAGCGGACTGAAATTTGACAAAATCAATTTGTTCAGCGACTCTACCATAGCGCTCACCTGGATCCATTCCAAAAAACGACTTCCTTCTCTTGTTACCAACTTGACACAGAAGATACAGCTGACTAGAGAACGCCTTGAACAATACCGGCATGTCCAAATTTACCATGTCCCCACAGAAGAGAATGTTGCTGATCATGCAACTCGCGGACTTTCACACGCAGAAGCTAGCAATCATGTATGGTTCAAAGGACCTCGATGGCTCAATGAGCAGGAGCAACATTGGCCTGTTCGTCAAATAGAACAGCTAAGTCAAGCAGAAGAAGAAGACTCTCTAGCAATAATGGCCACTATGGTAACACCTCTCACCCTGACAAGGCAACCAAGAATCTGGCCTACTGAAGCAGTCAGTGGCTATGACAAGCTCAAAAGGATTGTTGCTTATTCCTTACGATTTGTACGCAAAATCAGCAAAGGCAAACTCTATCAACTTGACGAGCACTGCGAAACGTTCAGCGGCATTCCGAATGCCCAAGAGTTGATAATCGCAGAACGCCACCTACTTCGAGAGGAGCAACAGCAGTCCGATCTGCAATCCTTCATAAACAGCTGCAAAAACAAGACCATCAAGGAAGACCTGCATGGGATTACTAGGAAATTTGGCCGCTTGCAAAACTCGGATTTGAACTACGACACCATCAATCCAATCTACCTTCCTCGCAAAGGACTACTGAACGCTAGAATTGCGGCGCAGCTACATAAAGACTTGTTTCACTGCGGCATCAACCAGCTAGTCAACGCTCTCCGCAAGAAATTCTGGATCCCAGCAGACAAGACTCTCTGCAAAAAGATTGTCCGGAACTGCGTCATCTGTCAACGCTATAACGCGGTCCCTTACAAATACCCACACATGGGACCACTACCGTCCGAAAGGGTTACACAGTCGCCGCCTTTCAGCTTCACTGGAGTGGATTTCATGGGACCAATCACCATCAAAGACGCAAGTGATGAAGACGGAAAACGATATGTCGCCCTATTTACCTGCTTGGTGACGCGAATGATACACCTAGAAGTAGCGAAAGACTTGTCAGCAAGAAATTTCCTCTTAGTTTTCAAGCGCTTCACAGCAAGAAGAGGTGTTCCGCTGAGGATAATAAGCGACAACGGCACCAACTTTCGCTTAACGGAAACCATCCTTCGGCGCGATGATCCGCCCTCATGCTCGCCAGTATCACTCTTTCTTGCTAAACACAACATTCAGTGGAACTTCATTCCACCAGCTTCTCCATGGATGGGAGGAGCATGGGAAAGAATGGTTGGGACTGTCAAAAGGGCCTTGCTCAAAACGATAGGAAGACGGAAGATCTCAGAAGAAATTTTTTCCACAGTCCTCTGCGAGATTGAAGCTGCAGTAAATTCACGACCATTAACGACAATCGGAGAAGCTGCTGACATCGATGAAGTACTTCGCCCAATCGACTTTGTGTACAAGAACATTCGACATGGCATAGAAGTTATACGACAAGACGAACAACATCAGGAAGACCCTCCATACCAACCTACGCCAGAAATTTCAACACAACTGGACGCAAAGAAGGCCATTTCTGATGCAGAGAAACTTACCAACAAGTTCTGGGACAAATGGAAAACAGAGTATCTCTTGGAACTGCGCGAACGTCACGTACTTTATGGAAGCAATTACAAGTCATCGAAAAATAACCCGTGCGTTGGCGACATCGTGCTTATCGATGATGATCTGAAGACATCCAGAGACCACTGGCCAATGGGTGTGATCGAGGACTTAGTCAAAAGCAAGGATGGAGAAGTACGAAGCGCCGTACTTAAAACCGGAACTGGGAGATGCGTACAGCGTCCTATCAATCGCCTCATTCCACTGGAAATTCGTGCCACAATGGATCCGAACACAACGACAAGCACTTTACACGACAATGAGGAACCTCAGAGCAGCATACAAGCTCTACCGCAACGCAAACCTCTGGAAGGGAAGGCTAAGAAACCCATCAATTACAACGAAAATGTGGTATTGCCGAAACGTCGTCCATGGAATGCACTCAGCATTTTACTAGCCCTAACAGCATGCACATTGGTACATTCTGCACAGGGAGAAGTACTGAACTGCACAAATACTGGATTCATACTCAACTTATCATCGATTCCGGACCTAAACAGCAGGAGTGAAGTATGCGTCAATCGCATTCATTGCCGGAGCATACACACGGATCAGCAGCCCATACAAAGATATCTACCGCCACATCAGCTAACTAACCCATATTCCGTTAAATGGCGAGCTATCATGAACACCACACTATACGAAGAGGAAGTGATGTGCCCAGAGCAATCAGTGTGCAATTCCATACATTGCACCTTCTGTCCCCTTCTACTTGGCAACCCACGCTGTTTTCCGAAAACAACCATCGCAGTTATAGCTACGGTTATTTACATCATTACACTACTCACCACCATTTCCACATATCTGGTGGCACGTGTAGCAGTCATGCTCAAACAAAAATGCCGTTTGCTCAAAGACTCGAAGCATAGAACGATGGATTCTACGACAACAGAGCAAGCCGAAAATGTCGAATTGCGTCCGAATGTCGAAACGCAAGCACGTCAAAGGAAAACTTCCGGAGGTCATTCGACGCGATCCAAGCTCATCTTCTCGCTTTCACTACTGGCAGTAACAAGCTGCTGTCAGCATACTCATGTTCTCAACACCAAAGATCTGATCTGCACTGACTTTCTTGGAGATTCGAGATGTAAGAGTATTGAGGAGCATACCTTCGCAATGAGCAGCTTCATACGCGAAGTCTGCATGAAGATAATGTACAAAGGAGAACTGATCGCGACATTACACATACAACTCGACAGCATTAGATTTGAGTGCATACCTGTCACTCACTTCTTCACCAGGAACGCTGAGCTGACAACGGTTTCTTCCAAACGATGCGCTCAAGCCGGCAGTTGTACGCAACAAAGATGTCGCACAATCGCACAAAACTCGTTCGTTCCGGAATTAAATGGCTCATACCACCTTCCTGGAGTGACACGATGCCAAGAATCGTGTGGAGGAATTGGTTGTGGGTGCCTCTTACCAATGCCAGGTTGTCTTTTTTCCCGCACTTACTCAAAACCGAAGGACGACCTCATCTACAAAGTCTTTTCCTGTCCTGTGTGGAATGAAAAAGCACGAATACGAGCTCGATTAACCTTCGTTACGGGCAAGGAAGTGGTGACAAACATAGACATATTACCGCAAGAAACAGTGAGCATGGACAAGATGAACTTCACCCTCGACTTCATTACGGCTCCCACAATATCCATCTTGGATAGGAAATTCGTCCAAGTATACAACCGTACCAACCCGGAGACCATGATATCCCCGTCCGACGACACGTTCGCAGTCAAGTGTATCACATCAGAGATCGCACAAAATTTAACAAAATGCCGTGTCGTGATACGTGCAAGTGCACCTCAAGATCCACAGCCGCTGTATGCTACTGTGCCAATGTCAACATCACAGAAAGGATGGACTCCCTGGATACTAGGCTACCCATGCATAACTCAGAGTTTTCTCTGGAAGCCGACGAGAACTCAGTAACAGTTGTGAGCTACACCTCTGTCGCAGAAGTTTCCTTATCAACTGAAGCCAGATGGAAAACTGCTACGGTTATCATACCCACCAAATGCGAGATCCACGCCTCCGAAGCGAAAGGCTGCTACAACTGTCTCCAAGGAGCAAAGCTGGTCTTCACATGCACTTCCAAAATCAGGACAATCGCGGAAGTTGAATGCACTGATCATCACTACACGATAGATTGCGGACCAAAAGCAACTAATACCACCGTACTGATCAGTTCCAATACCGCCAACTATGCTGCACAATGTAGCACCCAGTGCGGATCACAAAAACATGATTTGCACATCATCGGATCGCTTTATTACCACTCCATATGGAAAGACGATTTGGAACATGCTAACATCGAAAAAGCCAATTACGTGGACTTAATCAACATTCCTGACCTTAGCAACATAGCTCAGGTTATGTCTCACTGGTGGACCACTTCGCTTACAGCAGCAGCTGTAGTAGCATTGTCAATAGCTGCCACACTGATCTGTGGACCTGCTCTGTTTCGCAAATGTATGCCCTTCTAGGACATAACATTATGCAGCACACTCACATGTACATATCTGCACTCTCGCTAGTCCCCCCCAGGCGTCACTGCTTGGCAGTCCCCCTAATTACAGGCGGTGATGCACAAAGCAATTATTCTGTCCCGCGACATTTTGCCAGAAAGGATGTCGAACCACTCCAAAGACCTCGCCGGCAAATTTACGATGCCTAGGTCGAACCACATCTTCGTATAAAAAGGCCTTCCATGCACACCCAACTTCTACTGCTCACAACAACTATGGCTACTCCAATCCACGTTTCTGATGAAGAGGACCTTTTGGACTTATCAATTGGCATGCAAATGGATCAGCTTGCTGCTCACAAAACGACTTCCCCAAGCTCGAGGCCGATCATCGTGAAGAAGCCACGACCGTCCAAAAACGCAAGACGTCTGGCATCCACCCCGAAGAAGAGAAGAGCTAAAACCACATCCCCGAATCCTACCATGAACCAGGAAGAGAATGGAGAGCCCCAGGTAAAAATTACCAAGCTCGAAACTGTTCTCATTCCAGATAGAAGTGCGGCGATCGTCCCAAAACCCAAGATGACACTGCGTCCCTTAGTGCTATCACATGAGCATCGGGGCTACGTCTCTAACAAAGATGTGATGGACATGTTCCATGTCATACAAGACAATCAGAAGAGCAATGAGCACCGCCTAAACAGGATCGAGGACAAGCTCCGCGTTTTGACCCAGCAGATGGACGGAATGGCTAATAAAATCGAGATCGTCAAGGAGAAGCAGCGTCCAATTCCAATGATACCAGCACCCCCCAATGGATGTCCTCCCGTGGAAACCCCACGCTATTGTGATGTTTGCTATGTCGCGGGGCATCCTGCGTCACGATGCCGTGCCAAGAAACATATGCCCCCCGATTATGTACGCAAGGTGTACAAGAAAAAGGGCATCTGCAAAAGATGCCACTTCATTCATGCCAATCCTGCCCAGTAGATCGGTTTTTCATTCCATACCTTGTATTTTTTGGTTGTTGCATTAATGTATTAACATTCTGAGACAATTTTTTTGTGGTACCCTTTTTTGTTCTCATCCATCACCCATTATCGTAATGAAAAAAAAAATTTTTTTTCGTGTGCTATTTCATACCTTATTTCCATATTTTGTCAGCTTAATAAAATTTCGTTCGCTAGTTTCATTGTTGACACATTTCATACACTTCCTATTCTACAGTAGAATTATATAACGTGCATCATGCACTCCTTCCGCCCCGCCCCCAGTGTCGTTAATTATAATATTATTAACGACTCTCTTCGTTTATGTAAATGTATCCATTCTGTCATGGACAAGTTGTAGATTGCCCATGCACCTGTTTAGCCGCCGGGTCACCCTCATGGCCCTTGATAATGCACTCGGCGGCGCCTACTTTCAAGTAGGCGAAACTCTTCTGCATTGATAGCATTCCTTGCCAGAAGTTGGCATCCAGGCTATACACGCCCAATTTGGCTGTATAAAAGAGCCTGGATACCAAGCTCTGGAGTCGTCACTATCGCCGTTATCGCCTAGTCGCTGTTCGTCTATTCACCAATAAATAGTTGTGCCACCCAATTGGTCTTACCAAACACACACACACACACACACACACACACACACACACACACACACACACACACACACACACACACACACACACACACACACACACACACACACACACACACACACACACACACACACACACACACACACACACACACACACACACACACACACACACACACACACACACACACACACACACACACACACACACACACACACACACACACACACACACACACACACACACACACACACACACACACACACACACACACGTAAACAACCCTTAGCCCGTTATTATAAGTTACCAGTGCGTCACCTCTGCTTCGCAGAGGCTCGCACTGGCCCTACTTTCTGCATGCCTTACTCATTCCCGCAGAATAATGGCAGTGAAACTCACCGCACTATGCAGGCTATCACGAATAAATTGAAAACAACTACTCATTCTGAGAGCTTTTTTGTGTAAGATCGGTATTTTCGCGTGGATGAAACCTTTCTGAGAGGAATAAATGCAAATTTGAGTAGGTTTTTGGACTTTTTATGTTCTGGTAGTCGCCATAACGACGATGATCACTGTTGGCTACATCTTGGTGCAAAAATCTTCTCAAATCATCAGGTAAATTCTTTGAAAATTGAAGATTCACGCAACTAATTTTTTCGGCGCCATTTTCGTAAAGTGATCAACTTTAGTTCAGTTTTTCGAGCCAAAGTCTGTGGCTTGAACATTAGCTTGTTAATCATACTCATGACTTCGCAAAAAGTGGTGGAAAAGGCCCAATTTTGCTGGCCAGAAGCCAAGTGGAGCCAGTGCGCCACCTCTGCTTCGCAGAGGCTCGCACTGGCTCTACTATCTATGTGCCTTACTCATTCCGCAAAATCGTGGCACTGAAACTCACTGCGCTATGCCGACTACCACGAATAAAATGTAAACAACTTCTCATTTAGAAAGCTTTTTCACGTGAGATCGGTGATTTCGTGTGGATGAAAATTTTCGCAGAAAGACAAACGCAAATTTGAATAGGTTTCTAAATTTTTCATGGCTTGGTTTCGCCATAAAGGCAATAGTGACCGTGCTCTACATCTCTGTACGAAAATTTTCTCAAATGCTTGAGTAGAACCTTAGCAATTGACCATTTACGCAGCCAATTCTTTTTGGCGCCGTTTTCGTTATGTAGTGAACTTTTGATCACTTTTCGGGCTAAATTCCATCGCTTGCACATTTGCTTACCAAACGCATCCACCACTTTGCAAAAAGTGGTGATACGGACCCAATTTTGCGGGATAAAAGCCAGGTGGATCCGTTTGGCGCGCAAATTTTGAGGGAACCACTCAACGAATCTACTCGTGCTTTTGCATGTTGGGCTTCTATGAAGGTAGCATGCGCTATGCAAAATTTGGGCTCAAAAGGTTGGCTGGAAACTGCTCTACGAATTTCGTAACAGACACACTCACACACACACACACAAAAACACGTAAACACCCTTAGCCCGTTATTATAAGTTATGATGATTATCCCTAAATGTCGGAGAGTACTGATGCACTCATGCACCTGATTAAAAAGCAATGCATTCAGAGATATTTGTTGCTTATTCAACAGTTGTTTAGCATACTTGCTCATATAAACGTCAGAAGGTGTTGCCAAGTTGATGATGAAACAGTTCTGCCTTTCCGCAGTGAGTTTGTAAGTAAAGATTTTCCAGCAAATTTCAATCTCAGGTACAAGTGGCGATAAAGTATTGGACACCTCGAAGATGTCACCTACGTAAACTGAGTGGTCTGGGGCGGTATTAATCAATCCCTATTTGGAAAAGGGTTCCTGTACAGGTCAGAGCCCGTATAGGAGCGGGCACTGGCTCCCGCGTTACACGAAGCCAAGCTGGTGATCGGGCTTCTGTCTGTTTGTAGATATGCCCGATCTGGCAAGTTTGGCCATGTCGGGCACGGTACCTGATCACGCCCGATCTCGACCGAGCTTGCTGCCCGTTTGGGCCACGAGCCCCAAACTTTCATTAATCAAGGGATGGTGCCTCTCCTGTCCGGAAACTCAATATGGCCCGAAGAGCAATTGGGGGATTGATAAATCCGCCCCAGATTTTCAAGGGGCTGAGTTGGAATGGACCTCGTATGGTATTAGGTTGTCCGGAAAATAATGTCGCATCGTGTTTCATCATGCAAAATCGCGGCAGGGTGAGCACCACTTTTGTCCTATTTTTGTTTGTCCTACTGTAGCCATGGAAGAATGCCACAAACTATACAGGTGAATATCTAATGTGGAGAGTATATTCCTGTGCCAATTGAAGTCACTAGGACGTATATGGACGGAGATACAATTTTTCGGGTATCTAAAATTTTTTATATTTTGGTGTCAAACTTCAGGTGGAGCAAGACTTCCGCGAAGATTTGTGAACTACCTTGTAGAGCTCGCTTTGCTCTATCAAAAGATACCCCATTCAATGTTTTTTGTGGTTACTCTATCGCGGTAGGATGCTATGCGACATTATTTTCCGGATAACCTAATAATAACAATAAAATAAATAAATAAATAACAATAAATAATAATACAACCTAAGACAACCTAATACTAACTGTCGAGCGCATACGTTGTATGATAATAAATACATTCATCCTCTAAGAGTTTGACCGTATCTGTCAAATGTGGGCTGAATTTCTCCTAGTGAAACCTAGAATATTGGACCATTCTACGTTCTCAGCTCAAGCACTGTCAGTTGGAACATCTTGAAACTCGATCCCAAACTTATTACGAAATTTAAAGGTACGAAAGTGGCTTTATTCTAAGGACTACAAGAGCTAAAAAAACTGCAAAAGGTAAGTGCTCTGCAGATCATTGGAAAGACGGCAAACAATTGCTAAACCAAATCGCGCAAGTTGATATGCAAGAAATTCTTCTGTCGATGAGACTGAGTCTCTCATATGGGGCTTGATAATACCATCAGTTACCCGAAGTGCTCATAGTTCTCTTAAGTACGCTCAACTTTTCGTTTCCCCTCCTTGATGATCTCGCACAACCTTCTCGCTGTTGAATCTATCTAACAATAAGATTAGGACTGTGCCGAGTTTGTAGGCACTTTCTCACAATAACAGGATGTCCCAAAAGTGTATACACTTACCTTGAAAGTTTCTATCTTGGAACCTGGGCATATCAAAGACGCTTTAGTATTTGTTCTGTGCCGTACAGGTTTTTAATAGTAATACACTTTATTGCCTGACGTTTCGGCGACACGCCGTCGCCAGAGGTCTAAAGGTGTCAGTCATCACAACGACGTCCGCTCTTAACCGCCAAAGACCTCTTCCCGCTTGCATATTCGATTGGAAGTGTGGAAGAAGGAGGTCGGGCATGACTTGCACTCACCAGTGTATTGCGGATATTGCAGTGCGCGACTGCTTTAGTTGAGCCCGTTCGGC